CTCTCTCTCTCTCTCTCTCTCTCTCTCTCTCTCTCTCTCTCTCTCTCTCTCTCTCTCTCTCTCTCTCTCTCTCTCCTTCTTCGCCGTTGTCTTCTTTGCAGGTGCGCGCGGCGGCTTCTTCAACCTCCGGATCCGCTATGGCGGGCTTCCTCTCCGATGGCGACTTCGGCTATGGTGCGGGACTCCCCCTGCGGCACACGACGAATGCTCGTGGGATAGCGGGTACCAGCTCCGAAACCAATGCAATTAGACTCGCTATCTTTCACACTTCATATGCATGCAAACAGGATGCACAACACACTGGCGACGAGCGCGTACTCAAAACTCAGAGATATAGTAACCGAGAACGCAGTTCAGGTACGAGTTCACTTCAAATGGCTATGGCACAGCGCCTGTACAGCTCTCTGTTCACACACACACGGGATCAGCCTGGATATCCCACACGCGATACTCTGAACACACGTACACACACACACGCTACACTCTCCTAAAAGCTATGGCGGCTATGGCCGCTGCTACCCTATCGCTATGGCTGAGCTCCTTCTCTCGCCCACTTCGTCTTCGGGCTGACCACCTCGCACAAGTCGCTGTGGCAGGGCTTCCGCATCGCTTACGCAGGAATGAATGAATGGCTGGGCACTGCCTCTTGATTTATACTTCTGTATCTCGTTGGTCTGCCCCTTTCCCATGCCCGTGGTGCACAGAGTCCCATGCGGTACTTGCTTGACTGGACTAGGACTGACTGGGACTGGGACTGCTGACTCAGCACGGGTGGATTCCACCACTTGCCCACTTGCCTCAGCCTGAACGTGAGCAGCTTTGGAAGGCCGTGGACTTGGCCTTTCGATACTGTAGCAGCTATGACCTTGACCCTTCAGGACGATCGCAGCTATGACCTTGACCTTTCGGAGGAGCTACAGCTACGACTTCTAGACCTTGCGAAGACTCCTATCCGGCAGGTCTATAGATTGAACCCCTATAACCTACAGACCTACGATGACCTACCAACAGGGGAAAGGACTCAGGTCGTGGGTTCAACTCCTGGGGTCGACACAGATACTATACACAGGTAAGGTAAGTCTAGGGATCGAGCCCTGGGATCTGCATTGGCTACTGCGAACAGGTGAATACCGTTTCAATTGCAAGGAAGATGAGCAATAGCGAACTTCAAGAATCAAACAGCATCATACATATGAGTCCAGATAGTCTTGACCTCGAACCAACAGCAGCATTGCATCACGAGAATCACCAAATAAGAACACACCAA